AATTCTTCTAATAAAAATTTTTTATTAAATAGTATAACCATATAATGTTGTATAATCAACTACTATATTATTCATACTTATTCGATTATGAAAAATTGAAAAATCTGAATCCATCTTTAAATTTTGGTAATTTATTATTATTCATTTTATTGTTTTTATTAATGAAAAAATTTTTTTTTTTGATTTTTACTAATGAAGTAAACGTTTATTAAAGATGAAACTGGTAAAAAAAATTTTGAAATATTAAAAAAAACAGCTGATGGTTATCTGACAAAATGTGCAGCAAGATATGTAGATCTTGGAAGTTTATTCAAATCTTTATCCTAATATGTGTGTGTGTATATGTTATATATGTTATCCTAATGTGTGTGTGTATATATGTTATATATGTTATTATTAATAAATAAATTCTAGTATATCTGATATATAATAATAGTTGTTTTTCTATACAAATCACTTGATTTGAAGACTAATTAATATATTTAATTCAAATCTCAAAAAAATTGCCAACACTTGATAACAATTAATTCATGATATACAATTTAATATTAATCAAAATATGTTTGTAATAAATGATGAACATTCCAACACAAATCAAATCATGATTTAATTTGTAAAAAGGAGGGTATATTACTTAAGTGCACACGGGCATTTATTCAATTGCAAATAGAATAATTCATTTTTATGTATTTTCTCCCTTGTATGTGATTATTTAACAAAAAAAAATGAACATTTTGAGTAGTTAAGCTTAGGAATATAGGAATAATAGGAAATATAAATTATAAAAAACAACAAGTCATTCAAAAACGTCACACTAGCTTATAAGAATTTCTTTTATAAATTATTGGTTACCAATTCTTCATAACAGAATCTGAATTTGCAACTGCTGCTTTTGCATTGTTTTTATAATACACAAAATGTCCTTGTAATTGGGCTGTACTCACTCCTTTACCTCTCACTCTCTTAACAAATTCATCTGCCAACATATCTGCCCCCTCATAAAATCTTAAAAACATATTATGAATCTGGTATTCACTTGCATTATCAAACAACTCTTTGACATCAACTCTACCAGGTCTAATCAATGCATTGTCAAGATGTTCCAAATGATTAGTTGTCATAAATATTATACGCTCTTCAGATGATGCCACTCCATCCAATGCATTTAATAATCCGCTAAATGTTACCATTGATTGATTATGACTAAAAATTAATTAATAAATTAATAAACAATATATTACATTATTACAATAAATAAAGCATTTATATATTTAAATGTAACAATTTTTTTCTTATACCTTCCACGATATTGCTGTTTTTCTGTTGTAGTTGTCGGCAATTGCTTTGGGTTAAAAGCTGCATCAATATCTTCTAATAATATAATACTTCGTTGGGGTGCATTGCTCATCAAATGATTTAATCGATCATCTGTTAATCCCAATTCTGCCAAGTTTAATATGCAAATATTATACTCCAACTCCCCTGCAAGTGCTTGTATAAAACTACTTTTACCACTTCCTGGTGGCCCATACAACAAATACCCACGCCTATATGGTATTCCTAACATTTATTATTCATGATATTAACAATAACAAATGTAACCATATTATTATTAAATAAAGTATATGTGATCTATCTCACCTCTGTCATTATACCATTTGCCATTGCTAATAAAATCTTTGACATCTTTAACTATCCTTTCTTTAACTCCTCTATCTAATATCACCGAATCTAATAATCTACGTTTTCTTGGTAATCCAAAAGGTCGCCATTCAGGCCCCCAACTAGTAAAAACAACAGTTTTTCCTTCTTGTTTAGCTAATGCTAGTTTTTGTGCTTCCTTCAACAATTCTCCAAACAAATGTCGGTCACGGGCCAATGTTGTCAACGTGACGGTTTCCCATGGACTACCAGAAGTCATATCCAACATCTTTGTATCTCGTTGACGCTCAACCTATATATTATCAACAACTTCCGAAAGAACAACTTTTGAAATGTGTACAACAACCTTCTTATTTCTTCCTTTTTTTTTTCTTCATTGAATAAATACTCGTATTTCTTGTGCATCTTTCCTTGATTCTCGGTTTATTAAAGATTTGTTTGTACACATTTCAAAATTTGTTCCAAAGAAGTAGTGGTGTCTAAATTTAATTCAATATATATATATATTAAGTAATACAAAATATATATAAATATTAAATGAATAAAAATACACACCTGTAACCACACACCTTTCCATCTAAAGAAATGTTTTCCTGGTCCTGGAACCAAGCTGAATGCCGTACTAACACTACCATTGTCATGTTGTATAAAACTAGTTTCTACTGCATATTGATGTATTCGCTGTTTGGACTGTTGTGACATCCATTGCAAAAACCATTGATATGACTTGTCTCTTGAAGGAATCTCTAGAGATACAAGCATTTGTCTACGCGTTATGGTAAGTCCATACATCAACCCTTTTCTTAAGGCTGCTAGGCCTGCTCCTACCCCGATAACTCCAACTCCTGCTGAAAAATATGGATTTGAGGAAAAAATTCCTGATAACAATGAAGATTCTACCATTTTATCTTGAAAAAAAATTTTGATTTCATTGGCTAAATTTTGTGATAATCCCTTCCAGATGTCGCGCAAAAAGAACGGTTGATGATTTGATGTTGAGAATAATGTCAAAGATGTTTGGGTTGAGCGTCAATATATTAGCCTATATTTTTTATCAGGCCATACCATTTTTTATTGATTTTTTTTTGATTTATCCCAAAATTCATTTTACATCAGTTGGTTAAAAACCCTCTTTTGCCTAATATAATAATGTATTATTATTATCAATTAAATAAAATAAATTCGACTCCGATTAAAAATAAAAAAAATAAAAAATAATAAAAACATTAATAATTACTTAATTACTTTTTATTTTTATAAATAAAATGGAAAACAAAACCAGACTTCTTCATAAAACAAAAAGAAAACCTAGTGTTTTAGCAGTGCCACAAACTGTATATCTTGGATTGGAATTAGATTATGATCAGGTCAATCAACAAAAAATAGTTTATGCTGTTGCTATACATGATGGATATTATACAATTGATTTTGAATCTTCTTCAGTGGATGTTTCCAAGTATAAAACAGAGCAAGAAAAAATCAATGGGGCCATTGACACAATATTAGGAAATATTACTTCATATGTTAGATCTCAAAATTTCAAGGTTCAAGCTATAGGTCTAGGTGCTTATTTAAAAAACCAAGATGGAAAAAATATAAAAAAGTTATTGTACACATCACCTACTTTAGCATCAAGAATTTGGTTAGAACTTGATGCATTGCCATTCATTATCCATACAAAAGGTATGACTGTTGATGAGAGAGCTAGTTCTGCTGTTAGAAAAACTGTTGTTTGGTAAATATTAAAAATCTATTGATCTATAAATATTTATATAAACACACACAACACACACACACACATATATATAAACTGACTTTTGCATATTTGCATACATATTAATATAGGATAAGTCCTCTAACACCAGGATCAATTCCAAGAATATCAGTTGGCTATAGGCATGAAGTAGAAGTTGATCTCAATGGAATGATCAAATTGGTTGATTTGCTTCACTATGAAAAAACTGTTTGCCCTGAAACCTGGAGAGTAATAAATACAATTGCAAATGAGATCAGAGCTAAAAATATTTGTATATCATTTTTTAATTCCACTCCTCAAGGTGGTGGAGGTAAGTAATTTTGAATGGATTTATTTATTTGTTAATTTTATTCCTATTATATTTATATATTTTATATTACCCAATTGATTAGTTGCTCTAATGAGACATGCACTTGTACGTTTATGTCTTTTATTAAAACTTGATATACACTGGTTTGTTGCCAAACCAAAACCTGAAATTTTTGATATCACAAAAAGAAAATTTCATAATGTTCTACAGGTAGTTAATTATTAAAAAAATTTTTGTAACTACATAATAATGAGTTAATTAAATTTATTCATTTATTCTATATTTAAAAGGGTGTTTCTTCACCTGATGTTAGATTAACAAAATCTGATAAGGAAGAATTCATTACATGGTCTAATACCAATGCTGAACGCTTCTGGAGTGATGATAGAGGCCCTATAAAAATAAGTGATGTGATAATTATAGATGATCCACAAGGTACACATGATATTCCATTATCTATATAATCAATCTTTATTTATTTATTTAAAATAAAATAATCATAGTTTATATTTTATATTATAGTTTGTGGTATTATTCCACACATCAAGAAAATTAATCCAACTTGTAAAATTATTTATAGAAGTCATATTGAAAGTAAGTTATTTTTTTTTTTATTTCTTGTTTTTTTTTTTTTTCCTGATAAATAATATTTATATAAATTACCTACATTTATTCAAGTTTGTGCAGATTTAATTAGAAAAAATCCAAATGGCCCACAAGCTGAAACTTGGAATTTTTTATATCAATTCATATCACAAGTTGATCTTTTTGTATCTCATCCAATTGCAAATTTCATACCAGATAATGTTCCCTGTAAAAAAGTAATTATATATTTTTTTTTAAATAAAAATTTGTTTGGTATATTATTTATCTTGACATTATCTAAACAATTGTTCTCTTTTTTTAAAACATTTGTTTAGATTGTATTGCTTCCAGCTTCTACAGATCCATTAGATGGTTTAAATAAAGAATTAAAAGATTCAGACAAAGAATATTATAAACTAATTTATAATCGTTTATCAAATGATCAATGTGGTGTGGTAATAGATTTTCGGAGGCCATATATTGTTCAAGTTGCTAGGTTTGACCCAAGTAAAGGTATTAATTTATTATATTATTATTATTATTGCTAAAAAAAATTTTTTTTTTTGATGTTAATTTTTAATATAACATAATATCATTATAGGTATTCCATTATTAATTGAATCATTTAGATTATTTAGAGAGAAATTGAAAAATACAGGTTGGGATAACTATGGAATGCCCTCATTAATTATATGCGGTGCTGGTAGCATAGATGATCCTGATGGTACATTAATATATGAACAAATCCATTCTTTATTAAATGAAAGTATATATCAAGATATAGTTGATGATATATCAGTTGTAAGATTACCACCTTGTGATCAACTTTTTAATACAATGTTAAGATGTGCACATGTTGTATTACAATTAAGTACACGAGAAGGATTTGAAGTTAAAGTCACTGAAGCTTTGGCAAAAGGTGTACCTGTTGTAGCTTTTAAGGCTGGTGGTATACCACTACAAATTCGCCATGGAGAAACTGGTTTTTTGGCTGATGTAGGTGACACTAGTCAAGTTGCTGACTATTTATATCAATTATTTAATGATGATGACCTTCATAATAGAATGTCACAAGCAGCAAAGACAACAGTCACTGAAGAATACTTTACAGTATTTCAAACTCTGAATTGGTTATATATTATAAATCAACTGAGTAATAGTAAGAAATCAAAAAATATTAGTAAAGATAATGATGATGATCAAGAAGAACCCAATATAGTTAAAAAGGTCAGGGAAGAAGAAGGGGAAGTTTTTGTGGGTAATGGTAAATGGGTAAAAGAACTATGGACCGAAAAATATAATTACAAAGGAAAAAATATGATTAATGGTGTTTGATAAGTAATGTTGTTTTCATAATCATTATCTTAGTACTGTTACTAGTGTTTATTATTGATTTTAGGTTCTTGACTACATTACTAGATCATAGTATTACCAACTTTTAGAAGTTATTTATATAATACATAATATTTCAAAGTCATACTTACACATCATATTTGGAGATCAATATTATTTAACATCTTTATCTTTACACTTATAAAAAAAGATTATTTGCTTTTAAAATAGATTTTTAATTATGCTTTGCCAATCCTTTACCTTAGGATTCCTATCAGATATATAAATTTTATGGTTTTTATAATAGACTGCTTATGATTTATTGTCATACCTTAATACCAAAGTATGTTTGGCAATTTTGAATAACAAATATTATAAATTTTGCAAGTATTAAAAATAAAAAAAATCCACCAGAAAAGGTTATCACCAATGAGAGTATATAGGTGAAAAAAAAACTTAAATCATCTAATTAATTGATTATCTTATGATCTTATTGTTTTAATGCTTGGATCATCATCAATTTCTTTTAGAATTAATTTTTTTTATGTTTCTTTTATTTTTTGATTTGCAACTCAAACCCACACCATTGTTCTTCATTATGCCTTTTATTACTTTTATCAGAAGGTTGCTTACTAATTTCAAGTCAGTCATCCAAAATTTTGATTTCTTTGTGGTCATAACAATTATCATAACAATTTTCACATTTTGACAAGCTGAAGTTATCTCCAAAATATCTCAATATTTGTTTTTTACAACATTCTTCAATGTTTTCACAATAGTTTTTCATTGCAAGCAAATTTGAAAATTTTCAATCTTTTTGACTTGTATATTCATTCATAATACTTTTTCTTCTTTAGTTATAATCACTAGATGAATAAAAAAGAGTGCATGTAGCATGTTTTCTAACCCTTCCTGCCCTCCCTGTTTCTTGATAATAGTCTTCAATGGATTGTGGCATAAAAAATGAATGACAAAATGTACATTTGGTTTATCAATTCCTTTAAATAAAAATTATCAAATGCCAAAAAAATTAATGTGATTGATATTAATAAATTTATAAACATAAATATTTACCCATTCCAAAGGCAGTTGTTGCAACAACATGTATGATTCCAGATTGCCATTCTTTTTGGATATTTATTCCGTTTTTTTTCTTAAATCTGCATGATAATGCTTAGCAGAAATTCCATGAATTTTTAAGTGTTCTGCAATTACTTTACAATTTTTTTTAGTCCAACAATATATTATATGGTTGGCTCGGTCTAAAGACCTCCTATTTCTGCGCCACGTGGCCAAATTTCAAAAATAGCAATTTTGTAATT